ATAGCCAAAACTTACCTAACCTGACCTACTGATTTTTGCCTTCCCATGGATAATGAAGAAGTTACTCACATTAATAGATTGCATACAATGGTAAGTCAAATAATTTTAGGTTAAGTGGTTGTGTATCTGGCTTCAGGTCTTCTTACCATTGCCTGTAATCTCTCATAAGGCATTGTCTTCGGCACTGCACTGCTTCGTCACGAGCACTTTGACGTTAATTTCCATACTGTATTGGTGCTTTTAAACTTGTTTGTTTTATGAATAATTATTAGATAGGAAATCAGGAGGTCAAAGGATATCATGTGATTCGCTTCGTACTTGAGGATTGCACCAAAAGTAAATTGGTGATTGGTCCTAAAGTAAATAAATACAACCTAACCTAACCTAACCTAACCTAAACTAGGTTTGCAGATTTATTTATTTTTATTTATTTCAAAAGATCGCCGACGGGATAACCCATTTGGTGACGAAATCAATATTAAGGTAAAACGGAACATTTAAACGGAAGATTGACATTTCGGCAAATTTACACTTCAACTAATCAACATTTCGACTAATTGACATTTCGACTAATCGACATTTCGGCAAATTTCCATTTCGGCAAATTTACATTTCGGCAAATTTACATTTTGGCTGATAAGCATTTCGGCAAAAAGGCATGTCGGCAAATGGCATTTCGACTTTAAGCATTTCGACTTTTTGACAAGTCGGCAAAAAGCACATCGGAATTTGTCCGGACACCGGATGGGTGCACGGCGCACGGTGTATTTCCAGTGTCCACTGACCAGGCTCCGGGTCCCCCTCCCCACTGTCCAGTGAGGAGTATTAGCCGCTCGCCGGCGGGGGTCTCATGGTTGCCAGCCACTCGTTGTCGCCCGGTTCGTGTATACTAGCCATAGGAGTACTATAGGAGTACTAGCCGCTCGCCGGCGGGGGGGGGGGGGGGGTCATGGTTGCCAGCCACTCGTCGCCCGGTTCGCGTAGGGGAGAGTGCCCAATCTGCGCCCGGTCTCCTAATTGCGCCCTCGTCATTTTCTGTGAACCCAATAGGTCGATTGGTGTTTAGAAAACAATTTATTAATAACAATCGTCAAACCAATATTTTTCGACCTACCGCTACCAGCGTAAGGTTGTAAGTCGCGTACTTGGAGTGGTTTTGTAAAATGTAGTGTTTTCTTATCCTGAGCCTGCTTACTTATTGAACTGTTACTCTCCAGGACTCTGCAAACGACTCGCATGCCCGGCATCCGACCTTCTAAATCCACTATTCGCCGCATTCAAACAATCAGTGCAATTCGATTGGGACATCAACCCCCACTATCATCTCCACCCAATTAAGCCCCTTCTCAAATCATGGCCCTCATTTAATCAGAATACGAGACTAAAAGAAGTGATTCTCGCGAGACTTCGGATCGGCCACACGAAACTAACACACAGCTATATTTTTGAGCAAACTCCGCCTCCTCTATGTCATCGATGTAATATTAGATAATACTTATGTAATATAAGATATACAACAATCGAACATTTCCTTCCACATTGCCCCCTATACGGCGTTGAAAGACAGCCGATGAAAAGATATACTACTACTAATCGACTTCCAATGACGCTCCCTACTCTTCTTGGTGATTCGAATCCAGATCTACTTGACCTACTGCTCGTTTTCCTACACAAAACCAAACTTGAACGATCCTGGGGCCCAATCCAACCATAGGGCTCTCTTTCACCGGCCGCCAGCTCCCGCAGGCACTCCGATGCGGCTACCTAAGGGTAGCCGTCGACCCATGGGTCCCCGCCCCTCGGCCATACCCCCAATGCTGGGAGTTCGGCCACTCCAAGCGAGCGTGCCGCCGGCGCCACCCCCGCTGCGGCCGGTGCAGCGCAGACCACTTCACGGGCGGGTGCGAGCGCGAGCCGACTTTGCATCTCCTGCGGCGGCCCTCACCCAGCCTGGGACCGCCACTGCCCCGTACAGAAAGACGCCAGATCCTGGCACCGGGACCAAGTGCGCGCCCAACAGGCCGAGCATCTGGCCCACTCTGGGCACCCGAGCCGCGCCGAGACACAAATGAACCTCACCCCGGCCCCGCTCACCTCCATCCAGGCTCCACCCACTCGAAACGACGACTCAGCAGATGACAACGATGACGACGAACAATCGCCGCGAGAGGCCAACAGATCGCGACACTCCATGGGCTCTCAGGAAAGTCTCCTTAAACAATAAACAACCCCCGCGCCGCGACCCCAGCATCGGAAGATGATGATGGTTCGGTTTGGGCGGTTACAAAGTCACGACACGCTTCCAGCTTAATTCAATTATTGTCATCTTACAATTTCAGCCCTGCCAAGCTAGCGAGCTGTGCCAGCCTAAAAGAACAATCCCAACTTAAGCCAGTGTCACCATATCCCTTTGTTCCAACCTAATTCATTTGTCGGCAACCTAATAAAAACTACCATCTTAACAAGCCTTGCCTGCTTGATATTGACCAATCAAGCAGGGTGTCAACTTAATTCAAAACTTGCCAACTTAAAAAGGCATACCATGATACCAGACAATATTGAATATCACCGCCAGCCAAATCATTAAGACTGCCAGCTTTGTATCAACCAATCAGGGCGGGGCTAAAACTCAAAGCACTTTTTGCCAGCATCGATTCAATCTGCTCCAGAGCCTCCTCGCAATCACACCGGAGCCTTGAGTTAACCCTCGCCCCGTTGGGGGGGGGGGGCATTTTGGCCCCCCCCCTGTGGTTTTTCCTGAATAGCAAGAAAACGGCGGCGCGCAGCGCCGCAAAATTTTCAGTACCTTTCCGGGCATCAATTTGACACCTTCACACCAAATTTCAAGTCTTAGGTCACCTTAGGTCAGGAGTTATTGAGGTCAAACGAGGTCATGTTCGAGCAAAAATGAGCAAAAAACATGCAATCTTGAAACGCTCACCAAATCTACAGTTATCAAGCAATTTCAAAGTTCTTTATATGGTCTAATAGACAAAAAGCGGTGCTACAAAACTGCTATCTCGGATTTTCAAAATTTTGGGTTTTTGACCCAAAAAATTTCAAAAAATTGATTTTTTTTTGAAAAACTAAAAAAAATCGAAAATTTTTCCGAATTTCGAAAAACCGGAATATATGTGATAATCCCTGCGCTCTTCTATATACATACCAAATTTCAGATCGATATCTCGTTTTTTGGCCAAGTTATAGCGAAAAAACTTCAAAAATGATGACGTCAAATTTTTGAACTCAATTTTTAGCGATTCTAGACCTCGTACGGCAAAACAAAGACCACCATTGAACTCCCCGTGACGAGCTGCATCGATTCGATACCCATTTTATGCAAAAATATCAACTTTGAAATTTGACCTTATTTGACCTGACCTTGACCTGACCTTGACCTGACCTTGACCAAAACGTGACCTAAGCTGGCCCCAAAGGCTGCCTGACCCACATAATCGCATTTGTCATGTAAAATGGACCATAAAACATGTATTACACGACACTTTCATATTGTGACCCCCCAGTGACCTGACCTCAGTGACCTGACCTGGTATCAGTGACCTCAACTAGCAAAATATGTGTTTGAAGAACATTTCCCCATCGATGATTTTCAATGAAATGCATTTTACTCGATTTTACAACGCATTTCTTGAAATGCCTGTAAACGGTGAAAATTTTACCTTTGACCTGACCTGTGACGTCATCGGTTTGACCTAGGTCAATAAAATTGGGTCACAAGGTAGTTCCCTGATAGGGCTATCCAACACCGTTTGCCGCTTGTCGCTACGTTGCGTGGTTCTCGAGATCTTAGGGGGGGGGGGCCAAAATGCCCCCCCCCCCAACGGGGCGCGTTGCTCGGCAGAGCCCAACGGGGCGCGGGTTAATGGTTAAGCTTGCGTTGGCCAGCGTATACATACACCGACATAGACCAACGGAGCCGACGACCCAGCCTGCTGCAGATCAGCAAAATCAAAAGAAGAACACGCGCAGACAACGGGGTATGTAACTATGTGGCCTTCTGCCTTTGTGTGTAAAAACATGTCTTATAAATACGCGCTGTCCAACTTGCTTTTTGCATATACCTAGTTATGTGCTAAACCATTGTGTTTGACAGGAATGGCTGACAACAATGAAATTGCGTCACACCCGAGGGCCGGCCAGCCATGGCTGAAGCGGTTCCGGGAGCAGCAGCAGCGTGTTCAGGGGTGGTCGAGCCACGGCTGGCCGGGCCTGAGATAAGCCGTCCGGCGCCAGGGCCGAGCCGGCCGCCATCTCCGCCGCCGCTGCCAGCCTCTGCCTACGGGAAGGAGGTGGTGCCCCTTCCTCCGCTGCAGCCGGCTCCTCCCCAGGCCAGAAGGCAGCGCCGGGCGGCCCCAAAGGCACGCCAGGCCGGCGCCTCAGCTGCGCTGCCCCCGCCGAGGATTGCCAGCCCTGCCATAAGCCCTTCGAGGAGGACAGCAGCGGCCTATCTGGCCATCGCCAGGCAGCGGTATCGGCGGGAGCAGCAGGCGGCAAGGCGGCAGCTGCAGTCGCAGGTCAAGAGGCCCTGCCTGGAGCCTAAGCAGCAGGAGCAGCCGCCTCCACAGCAGCTGCCGCCGCCTCAGCAGCCGGAGCCGGGGCGGAGCGGGATGCTTCGGCTGGCACGCAGTCCGGGCCCGAGCCCGCCGGTGAGGGCAGCGGCAGCCTCGCTGGCTCGGGTCAGGGCAGGAATTTTACGGGATAAAAAGTCAGTTAGGAGGCGGCTGGTGATGTGTTCACCGGAAAAGGAGCAAAAGAAGAAGGAGAAAGAGAAGAAACGAAAGAAACAGGAGAAAAGGGAGAAACGCAGGGCAGAGAAAATGGAGCGAAGGAGGGCAAAAAAGCCCTGCATAGACGAAGACATTGTGCCGTCGTCGTCGCCAGAGTCGACGTCGTAGTCGTCGTCGAAGCCACCAAAGCTGAAGCTGCCAGGCCTGGAAACGGCGGCAGCACCGGAGCTGGAGCCGTCAGCAGCCCTGGAGATGGAGGCAGCCTTGGAGCCAGCGGCAGCACCGGAGCTGGAGCCGTCAGCAGCCCTGGAGACGGAGGCAGCCTCAGAGCCAGCGGCAGCACCGGAGCTGGAGCCGTCAGCAGCCCTGGAGACGGAGGCAGCCTCAGAGCCAGCGGCAGCACCGGAGCTGGAGCCGTCAGCAGCCCTGGAGACGGAGGCAGCCTTGGAGCCAGCGGCAGCACCGGAGCTGGAGCCGTCAGCAGCCCTGGAGACGGAGGCAGTCCCGGAGACAGCGGCAGCACCGGAGCTAGAACCGTCAGCAGCACCGGAGCTGGAGCCGTCAGCAGCCCTGGAGATGGAGGCAGCCTTGGAGCCAGCGGCAGCACCGGAGCTGGAGCCGTCAGCAGTCCCGGAGCCAGCGGCAGCACCGGAGCTGGAGCCGTCAGCAGCACCGGAGCTGGAGCCGTCAGCAGCCCTGGAGCCAGCGGCAGCACCGGAGCTGGAGCCGTCAGCAGTCCTGGAGACGGAGGCAGCCTCGGAGCCAGCGGCAGCACCGGAGCTGGAGCCGTCAGCAGCCCTGGAGACGGAGGCAGCCTCAGAGCCAGCGGCAGCACCGGAGCTGGACCGGAGCTGGCGCCGTCCGGCGCCAGGGCCGAGCCGGCCGCCATCAGGGAGCAGGAGCAGCCGCCTCCACAGCAGCTGCCGCCGCCTCAGCAGCCGGAGCCGGGGCGGAGCGGGATACTTCGGCTGGCACGCAGTCCGGGCCTGAGTCCGCCGGTGAGGGCAGCGGCAGCCTCGCTGGCTCGGGCCAGGTACGGACTTACATGAGAAATGAAGCCAGTTAGGAGGCGGCTGGTGATGTCGAGCTCACCGAAAAAGGAGCAAGAAGATAAGAAGAAAGAGAAGTAACGAAAGGAAAAGGAGAAAAGGAGGAACAAGCACAGGAACTCCTGCGTAGGTGGTACCGTAATAGGTAGGCAGGTGTTGGTTGTTCTTTTGACTTTTCCTTTCTCCCTTACCTCTCTTCGAGGGTACTCTACCCTTCCCCCACAAACCCTCCCTCTTTCTTTTTCGCACTTTGTTGTTGTCGGGAGCTTCCTCAGCAACCGGTATACCGGCTCGACCGCTCACTAAATAGCTGTCCTTTTGTCTAGTTTAGTACTTTTTCTCTTATTTTAGCTTCCCCTCATTCATTATAATCTTGATCAACATCTGACAAAAGCAACATGCCTTTCATCCTGGATGAGGGGGCGGCCTCACTGCCCCCCACCGAAACACTCCCCGAGGGTTCTGCCTTCGTATTTGTGAAGAAAAAAGGTTCATACCGGAGCAGCAACCCTTTCAGTATCAAGCGTTCCCTGGATCAGCTCATCGGCCCCGTCGTCTCGGTCAAGGCCCTACAATCTGGCTCCCTACTGATCGAGACAGAAAACACCAACCAAACAGAGACTCTCCTGAACACGACACACTTCATGAACCACCCAGTGCAAACCCAGCTCGCCCACCGGCTCAACACGGTGGAGGGAGCCGTCCGCAGCGAGGCGCTGACGGAGCTCAGCAACGCTGAGCTCCTCGACGAGCTAAAAGGTCAGGGGGTCGTGGAAGTTCAACGACTCAAGTCCCGGGACCCCGAAAAGATGGGTCCCAACCCCACCGTCCGCATCTGGTTCGCAGGCCGTTTGTCAATGCATCATCATCATAATCGTTTACCAATTGTGACGCTCCCATGTCCCATTTCTTTCTGCCAGGGACCTAGCGGCACGGCCGCTGCCATCGAGCAGCCGCCCACCGCTTTGGCGCCGGTCATCCCGATCCCGGTAAGTGTTTGGAAAGAGAACAGTCTTTTTGATACGTCCACAATTATCGCATATTTTGGTAAAATGAATTCGCAACATTGCATGATGCATATTCAATCGCTTTAATATATACGCCCATTTCTAAAGACGTAATCCGTTTGCCAATGCATCATCATCCTTTACCAATTGTAACGCTCCCATGTCCCATTTCTTTCCGCCAGGGACCTAGCGGCACGGCCGCTGCCACCCACCGCTTTGGCGCCGGTCATCCCGATCCCGGTAAGTGTTTGGAAAGAGAACAGTCTTTTTGATGCGTCCACATTTATATATATATATATATATATATATATATATATATATATATATATATATATATATATATATATATATATATATATATATATATATATATATATATATATATATATATATACAGGGTGTCCCATAAGTTCGTTCTCACCTAAATTTTACGTTTATAGGCTCTCTTGCTTAAAGGCACGCTAAAATTGGTTCGTAACTGATCTTACGTGGTTGCCATGGCTGGTAGCAATATGCTCCACAGTAACTAATTTCTGTAGACAAAATCGTTTTTGCTAGAGAGCCCGCTTCCTACAGAGACGGCTAACGCCGCAACATTAAGGTCTCCGATACGGGTACGTCTCGGTATTTAGTCAGCACGTGACCATTCTCCACGATTGAGGGTGATTGAGGCCTACCAGTCTGTAGCCAATGTCCATCGCTAACTGGACGCACAGTCAGCAAGTGGCGCCGATGATTTGTCGGGAGTCAATCACTGCAAGTTTATTCTCTTTCCAGTCAGCCCTCAGGAGTGAGCCATGTGGCCAAAACTGTGTGGCGCCAAAGTGGCCATCAAAAAGGTCAAAGGGCTAGAAAGTTGGTAAGCAGACTTTTCAGGATGGATTACCAGCTGTCTAAGAGTATTCTTTCGGGGTACATAACTCAAGGGTACTTAAGCTTTGCTTACCGGAGGGCTTAAAACAGTCAAAAACGTCTTAAAATGGCCAAACATGAGTTTCGTTATGCCTGAGGCTAAAAAACTAGAGGGCTGAGGACATCAATCAGGTCATCTGGACTAACAAGTCCACGTTCGAGATGAAACACCCGTCCAAACCCGAAAACAACCCCATAAGGGCGAAGGAGGAGGCCTCCGTTCCGTCCCGTTATGTTCATATGCAAAAGGCCAGGGTCACGGTATTGTGAGGTTATAGGCGTCCAGACGCTGACCAGGTTCCGATTGGTACTCCAGAAACAGTTTTGGGAAGCAGAATGCTTTCCCAAGAACATCTAGGAGGAGTTTCAGCCTTCAAGCTGAGCTCGAACCGCGAGTATGAACACATTTATAGAGGAGAAAATGGCATCCGGAAGGTCGTAGGCCCAGCTTCAGGCAAGACAGTGCATCAGTGCACAGGTCAAGCAAAGCTTAAAAGCAGTGCAAGGTGACTGTGACAGGCGTTTGTGGCAAGATCACATGCCAGGCAACTCATCGGATCAAAATTTCATAAAAATTCGTTGGTTATACTGAACTTGAGGCTCGTCGAAGCGAAGCGCTGTTCCAGCCTCGAGGAGCTCACGGCGCACGTCAATTCAGTCTGGGCTAACTTCAAGCCTGCTAAGCAGCCAAACCTGCCAGTTGGCATGCCGCAGCATGTATTCATGTGTTTGCCTATTAACTGGGGAGCACAATGAGGGGTCATAAATATATCAAAACGCAATGTACTCTGTTTCACATGCAAATATAATGTGAGAACGAACTTATGGGACACCCTGTATATATATATATATATATACATTATATATCACATGATCACGAGCGGCGCGCACACACCACTTGAAATGAATCAATCACGGCCTGAATTCTTCCTCCAATGGAATACCAGCTCGCTGATATCTCATTGGGGGGAATTCAAGAACTATATCATGCATAATAAACCGTTACTTGCCGCCATTCAAGAAACCAGATTCCTAGACTCTGATTCGATGAATTATAACTTTAACATTCGCGACTACTCTCTATATACAGATAACGTAAACGAAACACCTCGCCGGGCGGCTCGGCGCTTTATATCTCAAATAATATCTTGCACCGCCAAATTCAACTCAATACAACGCTTAACGTTGTAGGAGCCAAAGTAAAAATAGCACAGTGTGATCTAACTGTCCTCTCTATCTACCTCTCTCCTACCTATCCATTCAATCCTAACCACCTCTCCGAATTGATTTCCCAGCTCTCCCCTCCTTTTATCATAATGGGAGACTTTAACGCCAAAAATGAAAGGCTGAAAGGTTGGCGACGATCGGCGCAGCGGTTCTGCAGATATATCGAGAAGTCGATCGAGAGAAGAGAAGAAGAGGGCGGGGGTTGTTGTAATTCCGTGTTCACGCGTAAGTATGTCATCTAGCACAGCGCGGGCGACAAATGCCATCACCCAAATGAGGCGCCGTTTGGATATACAGCCGGAGCATGTCACGCGACCACACGTCGAACATCAGTGGTTGGCACGCGCTCGAAGCAGCCCCTCGGTGCGACGTTGCCGTACTCTGGGCCTCTGTCTCGGTTCTCACCATCCAGGACAATGTGAAGGGCAGTCGGAGCGTGGCGTTGGCCGCCATCTCCGTCATGCGGAAGCTGTTGCCGTCGATGACGGCGCCGCTCGTGCTGCCAAAGTTGCAGAGGCCGGTGGTGAGCACCGGGTTCTGGTACTCCTTCAAGCAGAGTCGGAACGAGGTGCGGCACTGCAGCGGACACCGGTCGCCGGAACCTCGCGGCGCGTCCCCGCACCAGCTACCGTCCCGCCGCTCGCCGCTCGGGTTCTGCACTTTCTGAATTTGTAGCTCGAAAAAGCCCGAGCCGGACACCTGTCCAATAATGATGGCCAGCAGGGTCACGGAGGCCCACATGATGGCCGCTCCTCGATCGGCCCGCCTCGCTGGCCACTGGCGCGGCCCGGGGCCGGCTCTGCGCGCACTGTCCGTCCCTGAGCTCAACACTCTCCGACCGATCACTGACGACCGCTGTAGGCGTCACACATCACACGCTCCCACCGCTCTCGACCACAGCGCGCTGCACTCGCTGGCAGCTGGGGCCGAGGTCCGAGATGACTGGCCGGGAGAGAATGGCAGGTGGCCGATCCCTTCCCCGGTGGAGCGTCCGGTGAGACCGCTGGGTCACACGGTACCGCCCGCTGGCCTCATAATCGGTAACTCGTTGGTGCGGCATGCCAGATTCTCCGCTGATGCCTGTAACTGGCGGATGACGGCATGGGTGCCGCCCGCTAGCATTGGCAACCACTGGGCCGGCTGCCTGGGCAGCGGGGCGTTGATGGACACGGTCCTGACATGGGCCAACGCCGAGGAGGTACAACCGGCAGCGGTGGCACTGTGGCTCGGCGGTAATGATATTACCTGCGAAATGGACCGCCCACGACTGGAGCTTTGGTTGAGAGTGGTCGCCCACGTGGCAGAAGCTCCCGCGGTGGCGGTAAACCCCGGACAGCAGCCCCGGAGTCGCCGGCAGCCACGGAAACAGGGGCAGCACCGGAGCTGGAGCCGTCAGGCCTGGAGACGGAGGCAGCACCGGAGCTGGAGCCGTCAGGCCTGGAGACGGAGGCAGCACCGGAGCTGGAGCCGTCAAGCCTGGAGACGGAGGCAGCACCGGAGCTGGAGCTGCAAGAACGGAGGCAGCACCGGAGAAAGCGGCAGCACCGGAGACGGAGCTACCAGAACGGAGGCAGCACCGGAGAAAGCGGCAGCACCGGAGAAAGCGGCAGCACCGGAGAAAGCGGCAGCACCGGAGAAAGCGGCAGCACCGGAGACGGAGCTACCAGAACGGAGGCAGCACCGGAGAAAGCGGCAGCACCGGAGCTGGAGCTGCCAGGACGGAGGCAGCCCCGGAGCCGCCTGCAGCCACGGAGACGGAACCGGAGCTCCATGTCTCGGCAGTTTCCTGACGGCTTTGGGCTATGTAACGCGTGTTAAGCTATGTAAACGGCTAGTCGATATGTCTTGAAAAGGAATAACACGTCCAACGAACACAATACTCTAAGCATCAATTGAATTCGTCGTTACAACTTCAGTATACAATATACATGATACCACTGGCCTGGTTCTATAATACTCCTGTCTACGATTGTTGTTGTTGCCGACACCGTCCCAATGACAATTGTACTGGTCATTTTTTTACTCACAGAGCCTGCTCCACCCAACGCCGTACCCTGCTCTTGTGGAGGCGTCTTCTCCACGGGGGAGAGGGTGCGTGCTCACGCAGTGTATATTAAGAGATCCGGCACAACTGATGAGGTCCCGAGCTTACGGGCACCAGCCACCGCCGCGGGGACCATTGGCACGCGGCGGTGGTCTCCTCCCCCCCCCCAACTCCTTGGACACATGATTTTCTCTTGGTTTTTCTTGGTTTCTCTTGGTTTTTTTCGTGGTTTCATTGTGATTGTCTTTGTTTCCATTGTTCTTGTTGCGCCGTGATTCCTTTACGTTTGCGAGCGCGCGTGTTTGCGTCCCTCCGGCGGCGGCGGCGGCAATCGGGACCTGCCCACCGTGGGCGGGTCTTTTCTTAGCTATCAGGCTGGACACCCCGGGCGCGGCCTAGGTGGCTTGCATCCATGGCCCCCGGGAGTGGATGAAGGCGATAGCTCCACAAACACACATACACATTAGCGATATAACGTAACGTAATATCAAAGCAAAGGGATTTTTCCTGTGCAATTTGGCAAAAGCGCACAGGTTTTGCCCTCTAAGATAGGCACCAGGTTTTTCTAGTTGGGACTTTCCTGGTGGAACTCACAACACAGCAACAGCACACATTACAACACTACCACATTTCAGCATCAAGATACAGCAGCAAGACATGTAAGTACTCAAAATCCCTCTCGGCACTGCCACTTTGGCACCCTTTCTGGCTTCCCCTTGCACTTGCTTCCACCGGACGTCACATGAGCCGGTCTAAGGTAAACTTTGCTCTTGATATTGCCTTGGGCCGGAATAACATAGCCGGCTTTAAAGTAAAGTAAAACGGAAGATCTGGCTAATTGCCAGCTAGTAACTTCCTCCTACCCCGACCAGGGCCTCGGCCTGTCGGGAGCAAAATTAAACAAAAAACTGATGAGGCGGAGTTTTTCTCGGCTGCCAGAGAGCTGCACCGCGGTGGCGAGTTTCGCCTTTTTCGGCACCCGGCACCGAAAACGTACGTCATCAGTATATGCATGCCGGGGACTGCTTTCCGCCCTAGAGGCCGGCCATGACAACAGGAGGAGCGGGCCCGGCCCGGGCGGCGCAGACTTCAGCACCGAGGGACGCCGCTCGTCCTCGGTGCGGCTCTAACTTCAGCATCCAGAGCAGCTGCCCGTGCCCCGGGCCCCTCAGACATCGACAGGAAGACGTACGACGGGCCGGCCTGTGAGGCGGGAGCAGCACAGACTACAACACCGGGGGCTGCTGCCCGCCCTACGGGCCGGCCTAACCACCACCGAGGAGCGACAGGCTGGCTTGGGGGGGGGGGGGTTAAGGCGACAAAACCGGGAGCTTCCACCTTCTCTCCCTCCCCCGGCCATCTTCAAACAGCAATAGGTGGGAAGATAAGTGATGTACGATAATGAAAAAAGGATATAAAAAAAAAACAGGAAAAAAGCATATATATATATATATATATATATATATATATATATATATATATATATATATATATATATATATATATATATATATATATATATATATATATATATATATATATATATATATATATATATATATATATATATATATATATATATATATAACTACCAAAAACGAGCTCGGTGATGGCATGTTTTTCATGTACATTGTACATTGATGTGAATTGTGTTCAAATGTAAAAAAACAATATCAAGAGGCAAGCAAAGGTAAAAAGAGAATGTTGATGGTGGCACTGAGCGTAAGGTGTCCGGGAAGACCGGAGCCGAGGTCAACCAGACCCTGCTGATCCCACCTGCTGCTGAGCCGCAGCAGCGACCTCATCTGCGAACAGAGCTTTAGATGCCCCGAGGTATGCAGGAGACAGCCACTGACGACTCCAATACTCACATCGAAAGAAGAAAACTACGGCCGAAACCGCCAATGGCGGCGGGCCTGAGTCACAATAACCGAACCGAACCTTTGTGCATCTTATTTGATCTTACACCGTCTTTTTTCTAGTTTTGAATCTCATTTAAATAACAGTAATGATTGAGCTTAGCTCCAAATTAGGATTCAATGATACTATGCATGCCATTCATTAGGAATTAGCATCAACCGTAGTTGACTTTTCGTTTCAGTCTGCAAGTTTTCTGCCCGGCCTGCCCGACCATGCGGCCCTCGGAGTGGCCGAGCGAGGCCGGGACAACCTGCGCTATCACCTAAAAACAGCGCACCCAGCCGGCGAGGCCCCGGCAGCGCGCCGTCCCAACTGGCTGTGTCCCCCCCCCCCCCCCCCAGTGTGAATCGTCCGTCCTTCTGACTCCAGAGGAAGGCACTTTCCGCCGCCTCTCCCTTGCCCTACGGCGCGAAGAGCTATCCGTGTTGCGCCAACATATGAGAGCATAGTTACAAATAAACAGTGTTTAGTATTTCTTTTATTGATTGGGCTGCCTGTGGTTTTCAGATGTAATTTTTGAGTCTGTAATAAAAATTGCGGCGCCTAAGGAAAATCCGTAACATTACCTCTCCATTCACATTGATTATCTGTTCATTGCTGGCGGCCCCAGTGAGGTCACACCAGCAATGACATTGACGGGTCACCATGATCTTGAAAGTAAGCTATAACTTACAACAAGAGTGGGAGGATCCCTTTAACCCTCGCCGGACCTATTGGTTTTCTACATACGCGCCGGCCGAGGGGGGGGGGGGGCGGGTACGACCCCCCCCCTCGCCGTTTCGCCCCTGGTGGAGCTAGCGCGTCGCGAAAAAAACGAGCGTGTGCGCCGTTACGAGACGCAGAGATTGGTACCCGATTTTAAGGTCCTAGGTCAACCGGTGACCTCTGAGGTCAGGTCAAGTGTCCCAAGGTACGGTTCAGTTTGTGGTGAATAACTTCGCAAAAAAACGGCCGCAGAGCGCCGATTTTGGCAGCATCGTGTTCGCCTCGCTCAGGCGCGTCGAATGATATACTTTTTGTCCGGGTCAGGTCAACTTGGGGTGTTGACCTCAGGTCAAGGTCAGGTCAGCACCCCCAGGTCACGAAGTTGGTCGAAAGAGGTCATGTCGCATATCATTCGATTCGGCAGGCCTTCCTGAGTCCATTGGTGCCTTCCCCGACTCGCTAGCTCAATTTGATCAAGAGTTATTGACGAAAAACTAATTTGACCTTGATGACGTCATAAATGACGTCACGCAAGGTCAACATTGCAAAAGTGACGCATCTAACCTTGCAAGGAGTGCATCAAATCACGATTCTGCGTGCTTGAGATAGTTGGAGATCGTTCCGGGCGCCAGAATAGCAGTTTTCATTTTTCCCCATTGACTTATAATGGTGAGGTCACGAAAATGACCTGACCTCATATGACCTTTAGGAAAAATCCGAGATATACAAGTTGTGGGACTCATAATGGATACTAGATCCTGCAAGTTTCATTTCCCTGTGACATCTCCTCTGGCAGTGAGGGCGTTGCGAAGTTGCGACATCTGAAGACCGTGCAGAGGTTCACTTATGACGTCATAGGTCAGTGACCTGACCTGACCCAAAAATGCGGTTGGTGTCAAAAGATGCGGCTTGGATCAAAGGTCAGGTATGCCAAGTTTCAGCTCTCTATCGCCAGCGTGTTCGGAGCTATCGCGAAAAAACCCTATGGGGGGCGGCACCCGCCCCCCCCCCCTCGGCCGGCGAGGGTTAAACCTCGCCCTGTCAGGGTGGGGGGGGGGTGGTTGCGACCCCC